TTGCTTAGTTGCATATGTGGGATCTTCCTGGAGCAGGGATCAAACCCATGTCCCCTGCATTGGCAGGCAAACTCAACCACTGGACCATCAGGGAAGTCTTACCTACTCTTCACTGTTGAGAAATAGCTCTGGGAAGTCCCTACATGTGAGGCCAGGCCAGAATCACTTCCTCTGGGATGTCTGCATCTTTTTCATCACCACCACCTTCCTCATTTATGCTGACAAGCTCACCTCCACTAAGTGCCTCTGACTGCCTATCTAGAATCTCCCAAACAGTAGCAGTGTCAACCCTCCCACATTCAGATAAACTCAATTCATGTCCACTTTGAATCCTGCAAAGTTATTTGTGGTGTAGTAAGTTTCTGCCACACTACAAATTACTGCTTCTTTCTGCCATGAAGCTTTCAATAGCTTCCAAACTTTGGCTGAAACAATCACAAAATCTCCAGATGTAGCACCTATAGTCTGTCCAAATCTGTTAAAAGATGAAATAACCTCTTGGTCCATTGGCTGGATCAATGAAAGCTGTGTTTGATGGTCAAAGGCAATTTTGCACTTTCACTCAAGCCCCCAGAAGAATCTGGAACATAAGCCAATCGCAGTGTTATAAAGTCTAGAGCATCTCTCTACTGCGGGGATCACTACTAAAAAGCTCTGTTGTCTATGAGTGAACTGAAAAAATGCTGCACAGCAACCAGACACCAAAAAGACTTTGAAAAAAGTGATCCAAGAGGTCATTCATCGGGTCAGTGTGCATCTGCTCCTTTATAAATGAGATTTGTGGACAAAAGAGCTCGCATTAAAGTTTGCGCTGTATGCAATTACTCAGTTAATATGCCATGCACTGAAATCTGAACCAACCGTGTTACCGGGGGAACTGGTATCATTTACCTGAAAACCATGGTAATGGATGTATGCATTTGGAATCTTGCAAAAAAGCAAGGTACAAGAAGACTAAAAATAGGAAGACTACATAATGACCGCTCCCCCACTGAGCCCCAGAACTCTGAGCTGCTGCTGCTTCTGCTGCTAAGTGGCTTCAGTCATATCTGACTCTGTGCGACCCCATAGACCGCAGTCCACCAGGTTCCCCCATCCCTGGGATTCTCCAGGCAAGAACACTGGAGTGGGTTGGCATTTCCTTCTCCCATGCATGAAAGTGAAAAGTGAAAGTGAAGTCACTCAGTCGAGTCCAACTCTTAGCGACCCCATGGACTGCAGCCCACCAGGCTCCTCTGTCCATGGGATTTTCCAGGCAAGAGTACTGGAGTGGGGTGCCTTGCCTTCTCTGGAAGTCTGAGCAGTTAGGCCTTTACTCCTCGAAATTCTTTTTCAGGAAGCTGCAGTATGGTGTTCTCCCCGCAAACAAGGGAATAAACCAAATAAACCAAAAACATGGGCTCTTGGGGGCTTTCCTGGTGGTCCAGTGTTTAAGAATCCACCTTGCATATATATGCGTTAGTATACTGTATTGGTCTTTATCTTTCTGGTTTACTTCATTTGAGGGTGGGATGTTCTGAGAGAATAGCATTGAAACAAGTAGACTATCAAGGGTGAAACAGATCACCAGCCCAGGTTGGATGCATGAGACAAGTGCTCAGGGCTGGTGCACTGGGATGACCCAGAGGGATGGGATGGGGAAAGAGGCAGGAGGGGAGATCAGGATGGGTAACACATGTAAATCCATGGCTGATTCATGTCAATGTATGGCAAAAACCACTACAATATTGTAAAGTAATTAGCCTCCAACTAATAAAAATAAATTAAAAAAAAAAAAAAAGAAGAATCCACCTTACTAGGCAAGGGACACTGGTTCAATCCCTGGGCCAGGAAGAGTCCACATGCCCGGGAGCAACTAAACCTGTGTGACAACTACTGAGACTGCGCTTCAGAGCCCGTGCTCTGCAACAAGAGAAGCCACCACAATGAGAAGCCTAGGCACTGCAACTGGAGAGTAACCTCCACTCACCGCAGCCAGAGAAAGTCCGAGTACAGCAATGAAGACCCACCACAGCCAAAAAAATAAAATAGCTTTTTAAAAAAAAATTATAAAAAGAAAACAAACATTGGCTCTAGGAAATCCAACAAAGGAGATAAAAGAAATCCCCAGGATAGTGGAGGGAAACTTTAGGATGCAGACCTGAAACTTTTGTCTACAGACTGGAACAGATCTGAAGCTCTGAGTGAGGCTATCCTAAAATACTGGGAGCTTCCCTGTTGCTTCTCATAGTCCTAAAAGGAGATTAACCACTGGAAAGTTCCAGAATGACTGATGACCAGCACTTAATAAAAGGGAGGGGAGCTTATTCTAGGGAAAACACAATGATCACAATAGATGCACTATGACTCAGCAGCTCAGTGATATTTTTCAAATACTCTCAAATACAAATTTTGATCTTCCCCAAATTAAGACCAAATAGGTCTTAATAATTAATACAGCAAAGGAGGGAGGTTAGGGTCTGTGTATAACAGCTGAAGACTGAAACACTATGGGGTGTCAAGGGCCCCAGACTGAGCCAAGTAGTAATACAAATACTAAAAGTGGTTGCCTCTGGAAAGGGGGAGACATGGAGGGAGACCCCTGTACTTGACAAGCCTTGTTCAATCACTTGACTACTTTATCATGGATACATGTAACCTTGATGAAAATAGCTTATTGAAGGGAGGGTAAAAAAAAAAAAGAAAAGCAACTTTTAGGTCTGAGTTCACACTAGCCTGTGTCCCTGGCCCAGAGAAGTTATTTTAATTTTGGCTGCCCTGGGTCTTTGTTGCAGCACATAGGCTAAGTTGCTTTGAAGCACATAGGCTAAGTTGCTTTGAAGCATGTAGGGACTTAGTACCCTGACCAGGGGATCGAATCCACGTCCCCTGCATTGGAAGGTGACCCACGTCCCCTGCATTGGAAGGTGACGTGTTGTTAACCACTGGACCACAAGGGAAGTCCCACGTATTGCTTTATATGGAAATAGATGCCCTCTGACCTCTTATTGGCTGTTGGGGTTCCTCTTCCCCAGACCTAGCTGCTCTTCTGTTCTTGGTTCAAGAGCTTCCTCAGCTGTCCTCTCCTGGGCCAAGGAAAAAATCTTGGGGAGGGTTACTATTGCCCATTTAATGTTATTAAAAACATAGTTTCTGGGTTTCTGAGGACAGTACCAGGAGAGGAAGCCAGAACCAAAACTCAAGAGAGCCTCCTGCAGAACCCTCAATTCTGAGCTTAATGCTAGGTTCCCCTTACTACCAAAGTTCCCATCTCCTTCCTCAAGTGAAGTTACATGGGTACTTTCAGTTGGTCTGGGACTCTCCATTCTGTTAACTTAGTATTGGTTCAGATACAGAAGTTCTCTAGATCAGTTCCATGATCTGTAAAGCAATTATAAAACCTACTGCAAGAGGTCTTGAGAATGGAATGTATATAAAAGGCTTAGTGCAGGGCCTGACATGCAATGATGAGCATTTACTAAGTGACTTCATGGTAAGTACTTAACCACTGATCTAACTTCTCAGGCACAGGCCAGGTAAGCATAACCTTATTCTTGTTACTGTCTTGGCTTCCAGAAAAACATCTAAAACTCTGAGGACAGAACATACCAACCTAGTTTTGTTAACTTTTTTAAGCCATGTACTTTTGCTTAACCATTCTGTTCAAGTATAGAGATAATGTGTCAAGACTGAAAAATCCGAACACTGGGAATTTAAGGGTTTTTTGTTTGGCCACACTGCAACAGCATGTGGGATCTTACTTCCACAGCCAGGCATCACATCTATGCACATACCATCCTCCCCTGGCCACCCATCAGGCTGGAAGCACGTGTGCCTCCCTGAACCACCAGGGAACTCTCCCAACGGAGAATTTTTAAATGTAGCTAAGCTACACACAACCCTCATTTTAGCCTTCTTCCTAACAGTGATTAGATAGTCCATCCGAACAGGAAAACTTTGTGGCTATTAAAAACAAGTAAATACGTGCTAACAAAATGTCCACGATGCGCTAGTATTAAAAAAAAAACAAAAAACCTAGTCTGTTAGAACAGCCCCCATAGAGTAATGTCATGTATATTCTGGGATCTTAAGAAATGTTTCAGGGAGGAGAAGGGAGCCTGCTGCTAAGGGGCAGTTCTCACTTGCTAAGATATCACATTCTCCTAAGAATGCATGAGGCTAACTGATCTGGGAACAGATGTGTATGAACGAAACCAGCAACGACAAGTTTTCTAAAAATGGTAGGCTTTTTATTTATTAAGAGGTAGACAGATGAACATGGAAGGCTGGCCCATTTTTACCTTGCCTGAAGTTCATATTCCACAGCATTCATCCATCCTGCACTGTCAGAAATCTTAAAGAAATACCCAAGACTGCCAGAAGGATTTTTCTTCCTACTTCTTCTTAGCAAGAATTGTCAATGAACTGCTTGCCAAGAAGGAACTACTAACCTAAATTTTCACCACGTCCTAAGACCCTATTAGAAGTTCCCACAGGTGCCAAGAGAACCCGCCACTGCCTACTGGTGGGCAGGGTACAAGTGACTATTTCTCTAAGACTACTAGGGAAGCTTGGGTTACGGTGTTTCTTGTTAAGTCCCCGTGCGTGTTAGGGCAGAAGCTGGTGAAACCAACAAAGCAGAGCACACTCTGTCAAATGGCTCTGGATGGTTGTTTAAAAAAAAAAGAAAAGAAAAGAAATCATGTTATCTTCAGAGACAACATTAAAACATAACGCAACTGAAGCCTGATACAAAAAAGTAGAGAAATATATACAGGAATTCACAGCCCAGAGGGAAAAGGGACCTCAAGAGGAACCAGTGGAAACCTGGCTATTTTACATAGCTAATTTTGAGACAAGTCATATTTAGCACGAAAGCAGTTACAGCACAAGTAGAGCTTCCCTCCCACAGCTCCCAAACTCAAAAGAGATTCTTTTGTCAGTCTTCGGTAACACTGCAGTCACTCTTCAAAGGAGCAGGAAATGTGTCAGGTGGTCCCAAACATTGACCTGAATTCCCATCACACACAGCCTAACGCTGGGAGGATGATGTATTTGAAGACTGCCATGATGGCAGCGCTGATGACACCCGAAATGGGGACCGTGACGAACCAGGCCATGAAAATGTTGCGGAAGAGTCGCCAGTCGACAGCCTTTTTGGATCGGAGCCAGCCAACGGATACAACAGAGCCCACCTGTGGGAGGAAACCACCAAGGAACTAGTTACTGATGTGCCAGGGTACTGTGCTAAATAAGACTTGTGACCTTTTACAGGTGAGGAGCCCCAGACTACCACACTGATCCATGAGAACTGGTTTGTATTAGGAACAAGATGAAGGCCGCATAAAATCCAAGCACTGAATCTGTGCTAACTGGGGCAAAACAGAATAGGAAAAGAAAATTCTCTTTTTCCTTCTGAGGTGATGGAACTTAATGAACTATTAATAAAAGGGCTTCCCTGGTGGCTCAGATGGTAAAGAACCTGCCTGCAAAGCGGGAGACCTAGGTTTGATCCCTGGGCTGGGAAGATCCCCTGGAGAAGGGAATGGCTACCCACTCTAGTAGTCTTGCCTGGAGAATCCCATGGACAGAGGAGCCTGACGGGCTACAGTCCACAGGGTTGCAGAGTCAGACACAACTGAGCAAGTGATACTTTCACTCATATTAAAAACTGCATTAGTAACAGATTCTTTTTTAGTGTTAGGTTTCCCAAAGATTCTAGAGGGAGGCTGCTATTAGACCTAATAACTAAATCATCTGCATATCTCTCTGGAAGAAAAATGACTCAAAGGCTCCATGATGAACCAACTTAAATTCCCTTAGGAAAGCCAGTTTGTTTCCTTCTCTGTAGATATCCTATAGTTATTAGTCATCAAGCAACCTTAGGATTCAGTAAGTTTCTCGGTGCTTCAATTCTGAGAGGCTCTGAGTGCATACTTGCTTTATAAACTGTCCTTCGACAGACCAACAAGCCTCACAGGCTTGCTACCTCAAAAGGGCTTTCACATTTTGGAGGATATAAAATATATTATCTGCTTAAATAAAACAGACACAAGGAATTGCAAAATGGGTCTTTACATTCTTAGTCACTTGTCCTACACTGTGAACTCTTCAACACTCCCACAGTGTAAAACTTTCTAAACCAAAGTATCAAAGGAAATAAAGAACAAAAAACACCTCTCTACATATCTACTAAAACCATTCAAAAGACACAGTACCCTTTTATCACTTACTTTACAATGTGTCGTGCTGATGGGAAGACCAATATTCGACGCAATTACTACAGTGAGGGCAGATGCCAGCTCAATACTGAAGCCGCTGTGGACACAAATAGATCACTAGTCAAGAATGGAATTTAAATTGTGGCAAGTTAGCAAAAGTTCACACAATCCTGCAGTGCTATCTACCCACGACATCTTCAGTTTGCTCTAAACTTCTGAAATCTACTTTAAATCAGACCATGAGATTCCTCTTCTGGTTTCCAATGTTTAAGGTTTTAAGGTTTTCTGTAAGCCCACTATTAAAGCTTGCACTTCTACTTTGAGGAACTTGGTAAACATCAGTATTGGCTCCATAAACAAGATAAAAGCCAAATATACATAGTCATTAAGTCTTAGCTCACACATCTTTCTCATGTTATCTTAAGAACAAGAGCATAAACCTGAGACCTGCTTTACCAACTTACCTAGAGGGTGTGATGGGTGTCAGATCCTTCCCCATGGTCTGGATGACTCTCCTTCCCCACACCCAGAGACCAATACAGATACCAACACCACCATAGAGCAGAAGCCATATTGGTGTTGCTACTTTTGAGGAAACATCACCAGTGTCATAAACCAGATACAAAGCAACCAGAGGACCAATGGCATTGCTGGAAGAAAAAGAGCAAAGATGACTTTGCAGGCAAAACTACAACTCGGCAAGATCCTATTTGTTAAATGCTTTACTACATTTTCTAAAGCAAAGCTTTCATTAGCAAACTGTCTTTCAAGGGAAACAAGTGGAACCCCCCCGCTCCCAACATACACAGCAGGAGACCATGAGAGTTCTTCTCAGAGGGAACACCCCATATTTGGTGGCCTGTCTTTCTATAGGCCCATCTGAGGCAAATTTGAATTTCATGAACAGTTTACAAACCACAGAACTAGGATTAACAGCCTACAAACTCATTCCAGGGGCAGTAACTCTTATCAAAAAACTAGATCCTATCTTGATAAATGGCTTCTCTGTGAAAGATGTGTTTATCACCTACAGAAATGGAAACAAGCATTCTTTGTAATCTCTCTGAAGAAATTTTTCTTCCTGTTTTGTACATCAATTGCTATTATCCCATTCAATCTGCATTATTCAATGTCCCACAAACGGAGCCTTATATAAAAGGATGATGCAGTATAAAAATAGAATCAGCATGCCAAGAATCCTGACTGACTGACCTGACGTCATTGCCACCATGGGCAAAGGACCCGAAGCAGGCCGTGAGGATCTGCAGGAACTGGAAGAGGAGAGACACTTCTGGCTTGTCCTGGTCGCACCATTCTTCCAGGGAGCTAGTGCTCCCTTTCCTGTCGCCCAGACCCATCTCTGCCTTGACACTCATGTCCATCTCTGACGCTGAGTGAATGTCAGACACAGCATTGCAGTAACTGGTGTAGCTGTCCATTCGAATTCGCTTCTTGCTGTCTGCGTTAGGCCACGTCAGCTTCTCCATCTCTTCACCCTTCTGTTCACCTTCTTTGGCGCGGAAGGAATCTAGAGGCATGCCGCAGATTGCCATGGTGTAGGAAGTGTAACTATTATTGCGCCTCAAGGGTTTGTCACCAGAGTCTCCCATGCAGTCTCCCACCTTGGCAAGATGTAACTTATGCAGGAGCTCTTTGTACAAGCCGGAGTCTTTGTGCACGGTGTGATACTGGTAATGGCCGCTGGAGCTAATCTGGTTACTGACAGCTTGACTAAACTGAACGAGGTTCCCATTTGGCAACTGCACAGCACCTGCCAAGACCAAAAGGTACCAACACTCAATGCCAAGAGCATCCGATCCAAAGAACGAGCCCCCCAGTGGTGCAGGAAACAGAGGGAAACCCGCCTGTCCCCACCAAGGAGAGCCCACGCACCGTTCATAGAGCCGTCGATGCTGGTTTCCTCTTTCAGGTCCACACTGGGAAGCCTCTCTCGCTCGGGAGCTTCTTCCAGGTCTCCAAGTTTGAATGAGACTGTCCTCTCCTCCACCACAGCCCTGAGGGGCACGGTGGCTGAGCCCACCTCCGAAACAGGATTCCTTGTCTCAATGTCACTGAGTGACAACTTTGTTTCTTCATGGTCTTCTTTCAAGCTATTCTTTTTTTCCATCAAGGGGCTTTCAGAAGGACTAGACTTGATTTCTCCTAGAAAAGGAGGATAGAAGCATATTTTTCTCTGGTTGTGACCAAACTAACTTGCTCATTTCCCCTTTCCCTCCTCAAAAAAAAAAAAAAAAAAAAAAATCCATCTCAAAAGTAAGGCCACATGTAAACTTAGGTGAAAATTCGGGATAATTTTTCTGTCTGCTTTATTTGCCACATCTCATATTTCTCATTCAGGAAGTAACCAGAGATGCAAATGCAGAACATCCTAGTATAAGGGGTTGTAAACTTTATTCAGTGAAGGCCCAGACAGTAAAATCTGGCGGTCCAGTGTCTAAGACTCTGAGCCTCCAATGCAGGGGTCCTGGGTTCAAACCTTGCTCAGAGAACCTGATACATGTGCCATAACTAAGACCCAGTACAGTCAAATAAAAAAAAATTCTGAATGTCCTGTTGATCCCTTCTGTAGTAGGAAGTAACTCAAGTAGGGAGACATTGACTTGCAACTGAAAAGTGACTGAATTTCGTGCATTTTTAAAAAATTAACAATGAATTTGGCTGCATTGGGCCAGAGTTGCGGTAGGTGATCTAGTTCCCTGACCAGAGATCAAATTCAAGCCTCCTGCGCAGGGAGTGTGGAGTCTGTCACTGGACCACCAGGGAAGTTCTTGCATGTTCTTTTAAAAAAGTAATGGCCTGCAATTTCAGTCCATGAGTTCAAGCAACATGACTCAGCTCAATGCAGGCAACTCAAGGTGACTTGAATTTCTGCCTCTATATAAACAAAGAGAAGTGCCTTATGGTGCTTGATCCCATGATGAGGAGGGAATGTTTTCTGCTTCCGTACCAATGCCCCAGGGGCATTTAGGCATCCCAGTCAGACAACAGCCCAGGATATCAAACCTTAGCAAGGTTTGTCTCCTCCCAGCCTGAGGGAAAAACGAGGTCACAAAGGCCTGAAACACTGAGCGCAGAGCCTCTCAGAGGCTCCTCAGCCCAGCTGTATGACGCAGCATCCTGCTGCTGCTACTGCAGTCCATGCGGCTCTCCGCTGCTTCCAAGAAACAAGTGAAATCACCACCCCAGCATTCAGATGAGAAGGGCAGAAAAACATGACTTCAAGAGAGCTCAATCAGTAAGCACAGAAATCTAAGGTATAGAGACTGATACCAATCAAAACATTCCATATTTGATTCTACTGGAATACTCTGTATAGTAAGAGTCTAAAGGAGCCCTTTATGTGTGCTCCAGTGCTGAGAATTAACCAAATCTAAAGTCAGAGGTACATGCGAACCTAGCTCTGCATACCTGAACCTGACTTAAGCTATACATGGTAGTCGTTTTGGTAAATGTTTCCTGTGAAGCTATCTCATACCTTTTATTTTTCATCAGTGAATCCTCATCCTCTCAATTAATGTAGACTACAGCTTCTTTGTATTTATCTAGCATATCACTGGCAAGTGATCAAGGTACAGTTAAAAAAAAAAAAAGGAACAATAGATGAACTGCCTAGCCTGTCCAGCAGCCCAAATAAGGTCAAATGTGCCTCGTGACTAGGTCTCAGGTCATATTATGTTAATAAGAACATCTTCTGGACAATAAACCTATATCCCCAAATTTCCATTTAAATGTTTCTGGCTTTAGCAATCTATTCAAGTAGAGGATTTCTACAGATGGCCAAACAAACAAAAGGCAAACACATCATGAGCTAGAATTTTTTGCTATGATTTGTTACTTACGTTCGATTTTTCTCTTCATCCTTGGACATACAAAGAACCAGACGATAAGGGCACAGAAAACTGCACAGCCCACCGAGATGAGGATGGTACCCCACAGAGGAAGTTTGTCAAAGCCCAGCACTAGGAGATAAAACGGTGCATCTTGAAAACCCCAGGGCAACAGCCCCCATGTAACAACGTGTAAACCCTCCTCTGGGGATTCCGGGGTTCCCATGCCAGCCCATCACCCTTCACTGCTGCTGCCAAACCTGAGGCTCACAGGCTTTACTGTGCTCCTGGCTAGAGGAATTTGGGAGAAAAATCCCATAGCATCCAAAACCCACAACCGTCTGGTCCACACCTGCTAGACTACCAATCTCCCAAGCTCCTTCACCTACTAGGCTTTTTCCTTTCTTTGCTTTGAAGAGTAAAGGATCATTAACACTGAGGATCTGCAACCAACTATGAAGCAAATGGAAGCATTCCACTGCCCAGCCTCCAGCTGGAATAGCCGCACACACCAAATCCATGTGTAATGTTGGCACATGGATTTTAACGTTAAAGAAGGCAAGTACCTCAGTCTTCTCTCATGCTGATATCATTAGTTCTCTGTGGAAGTTATCACATCCATTGTAAACTAGCTAGAGCAAGATTATCTCTTAGGATGCTTTATCAAACTAAGATACAGAAAACTGGGACATTATCTATCAAAAGATAAGAAAGGTTCAAAGGGCTGTCTTACACAAAAGGAAAACAGTATGGTAGTAATCACACTAACAAGTCACATTTAATCAGACTTTTGCCTACTTCTCACATGGCTCAGAGATCATTAACTAGTCACCTGGTTGTCACAAGTGCCAACAGGCTCCAAGCCACTAGCCTATATTAATGATAAGGGTAAAGCACCAGAGATCACTATTTAAGCCTAAAAAGATGCTATAATGATCTGTGGTTTATACAAGAATATCTTAGGTACTTGTGACTGTTTTGCTTATTAGGTATTACTTATAAAATGGAAACTATTTTCCCTCAAATTCATATTTAAAAATCAGATATAAATGGAGGCGCCTTCAAAACTAAAGTTCTGTAGTCACACAATCTTTCCATTTTAACTGTTATCAATTTGAATTATGCAATTAGTCACACAAACTAAAATATACATGAAAATTAATCAATCTATCTCAATTTAAATTTGTCTACATTCCAAGTCAAAAAGTGGAAATGAGACTGGTTTTTCTTGTAAACGATCCACCAAAGGACAAGACAAAAATATCCATGTTCCCTTTTCAAAGAATGATTGAAAACTTGAGTTTCTAATTTCATTGAACTATAAGCTGTGCTGCTACCACATGCAACATGAGTGCTTAGAGCCTCATGGAGAATTTAGTTTGACATGAAGAACCCAAATTAAAGCAGATTGGAAATGCAGCATGCAAGCTTTTCTTTGCCTCTATTATTTGTTAAGGAGTCTGGTAACCCCTAATAAGATCAATAGTCTCATAAAGTTGTCCAATTTCTTTCCTGATTATTCAGAATAGAGACAAGGTTAAAAATACTTCACTAAAAAAAAAAAAAAAAAACAAAAAACTTCACTAAACCAAACCAACTTTGTAAAGCAGTTATCCTTCAATTAATAATAAATATTTTAAAAAGTTAAAAGAAAAAATACTTCACTCACTCCATTTTTGGTCAGTGGATTATTACTTCAGTGAGATTTATGAAGCAAGTTACACTCCATTAGTCAGAAATGAAATCAACTTAGTGGGCCATAATGAGCATTTTTAAAAAAGAGTATTTGCAATTGTGAGCACACAGTACAGAGTAAGGATAAGCAGCTTCAAGATACCATTCCAGTTATCTTTTCCCCCGAACTCATCTCTATAAGCACACTCTGTCCTAGCAGCAATGCACAATGTCTTTCTCCCAACGAGTCACAACAGTCTGAGCCAATGAGTCAGAGGCCATACAACCAAATGAACCCAAGAGTGAAACTGACTAATCAAGGCATAATACTCTGTCTGACAAGTTACAGGTTATCCATTTTTTCAGAGGCTAAACTGAACATGTATCATCCTAATTTAATCCATGCTTTGCCTTTGTACCAACATAAAAGTAACATTTCAAGCTTTATATTCTCACAAATATTTTTCCTCTTAGCTGCATCAATTCTTCTTCCAAGTGCACACAGAGCAGGTGTTAAACATCCCAACTCTTCTTATTCAAGCAGATTCAGGGTGTAAATTTAGGACTTAGAAAACAAAGCAGCTCCAACTGGGAGAGAAAAATGAGAATATCCAGCAAACCAGTCATAAATGACTGATATTTCGAAGACAACATATAACTAATGACTCTTCAGCAGTCAGAAGTTGAGGTTAACATCAATTCCAGGTATTTTTAGCACAGGTAGGAGAGAGGGAGGGATAAGATCAAATTATCGGTGGATCCTGTGAAGACTAAAGAGTAAAGGTCTGTAGTGATTTAGAATCTGAGCAGGTCTCTTTGGTTGAAAAACTATCTAGGTTAAACTCAGCGTACACTAGCCTGCAGCCTTCTGAAATGGGCGCAGGCCAGTCACCTTCTAGTAGATTTCAGCCCTGTAAAGCAAAAAGGGGTAAATTGGGCATTTAATGTAAGTTTTAGAAACAACTTTAAATTCACATTTAAATATTCTGATGTGTACTTACATGGTGCTCCAGTGTACATGATGGAAAAGAGGTTGATTCCAATCGTGCAGGCATAGAACACTGGCAAAGCTCGCAACCCATTAGGAACTGGATCTGCCTGTAAAATGATCATTATCGTAAAGATCAAGACCTTAAAAGCTGTAAAAAGTCAACCCATTTCCACAGAACCTTATCAAAGGGCAGCTCCAGGAATTACAGTACCAGCCAGTAACTCTCTCCATGGTAGTCTGAGGACAAATGGTCTTTTCCTACATTGCTCCTGGAAGTCCCCCTACCAAGGCTGATCTACATCTATCTGAATTTGTGTTTGATTTTATGTTTGGGGGGTTGGTTGGGGTTTTTCTTGTTGCTGTTATTCTCCCCTGAAGAAGGGGATGGCAACCCACTCCAGTACTCTTGCCTAAAAACCCCATGGACGGAGGAACCTGGTGGGCTACAGTCCATGGGGTCAAAAAGAGTTGGACAGGACTGAGCGACTGATCACATTAACAAGGCTACCTATTACGGATGACTAGTGATGTCCTGGATGGTCAGTTTCAACCCCCAGTGCTCTAAGGCAGTGGTCCCCAACCTTTGTGGCACAAGGGATGGGTTTCATGGAAGACAACAGCTCACCTCCTGATGTGTGGCCCAGTTCGTAACAGGGGGGTGGGGACCAAGGCTCTAAGGTACCTTATGTCCAGATAAAAATCTGAGCACACACCTGAAGATGTATTCTACACTTGTGAGAGGTCAAGAAACAGATTGAGTTATTACAACATCTCTTACCTGACTTTATACCTGCAATGACTTCTCAAATATAAAACATGTAGAATATACTAGCGACAACGATCTTATCTAGACATTTGATAAATAAGCCACAACTAATGATTTACCAAAGTGCTAAGATAAAAATCAATCATATACAAGGTCATCTCATTCAGACTGTGTGCCAAGCACCATTTTAGGCACGAAAATATGGGAGTGAATGAGATAAAAGTCTCTGCTCTCACAGAGCTGACGCTGACATACTAACACAAAATGATGGTCTGAAGAAAAAGAAGGGGAAGGAGACGGAAGGAGGGGCACACTTTAATTTTCAGGGAGGGGGTAGTCCTAAGACTGTTATTGAAGCCAAGACACAGATGTATTACGTCAACAAGCCATAAAGCCACATAGCCAGGTACACACCCAGGTGGAGAACAGGAGCTAGAGAATAAGCTATCTGGAAGGCAGAATGTCCCAGAGACATCAGCAAATACAGAGACCCTGAGGCAAATGCTTGAACTGTCTTGAGGGACAGCACGGAGGCCGGTGACTGGAAACACGAGTTAAATACAAGAGCACAGGGCTTCCCTGGTGGCACCTCTTTGCAACCCCATGGACTAACCTGCCGGGCTCCTCTGTCCATTGGATTTTTCAGGCAAAAATACTGGAGTGAGTTGCCATTTCCTCCTCCAGGGGATCTTCCCAACCCAGGGACTGAACCTGCATCTCCTGCACTGCAGGCAGATTCTTTACTCGCTGAGCCATCAGCAAATCCCTGGTGGCGCAGTTGTTAAGAATCTAGCGGTCAATACGAGGGACACGGGTTCAATCCCTGGTTCCTAGAAGATCCCACAGGCCTAGGAGCAAGTATGTGTACCACAACTACCAAGCCTGTGCTCTAGAGCCTGGAAGCAACAACTACTAAGCCCATGTCCCACAACTAATGAGTCCAAGTGCCTAGACCCGGTGCTCCGCAACAAGACGTCGCCCCCAATGAGAGGTTCACGCACAGCAACGAAGACCCAACATAGCCAAAAATACATTCTAAGGAAAAAAAAGAGCAGTTCTTAACACATGGGAAGGCTAAACCTCAAACATGTTGTCAGCCTAAAGGTTTAATGCTAGCTTAGATCCAATGGAAAATCTTGGAGAGGTAGAGACAAGGAAAAGACTCATCAATAATACATGGGAAGACTGAGTTAATGGCTTAAAATTAAGGAACCAGAAAGCAGAGGTGCCATTCCCAATCAGCAAAGATGATGGGCCCTGATGAAAACCGCCTGAGCATCAGCTCCCCAATCTGCAGTCTAAAAGAATGCTACAGATAAGGAAACTGACAAAATAAAAAGAGCCAATAAAACCTAAGCAACCCTGAGCCACTCAATGTGGGCCCCACCCCGAGGATAGTAAGGATATGAACCTGAGCTGTGTATACCTTTTTCTTTTAAGAATAATCTATGGTTTTAAGAAATTCTCCAAGGAACTTAAGACTCCCCCTGCTCCACACCCACATCAAAATCCATGAGGGTTCCAGACATTATGTAGGGGCTTCTCTTCCTCCCTTCTGCTACCTCCAAACTCCACTCAACCACTCCCCTGAGGTAACCAGGGCTGTTTTATGAGAATGTTTACCAACATCTGACTCATCTAAACACACACTTAAACTTTACCTCGAAGTAAACATCTCATCACCTAGCTATATGGGATGGGAAAGGAGGTGGGGGTGGTCTTCCCAACTCATTTTCAACCAGGATAGTTCTTTTTTTATACACTGGACATGTCTGAAAAGATGCCCTAGATAGATTTAACATGATTTCTGACAGAAGGGAGGAATATTGAAAGACCCATTTTCTTTGACTGGAATTTAAACACTCAACAGGAAGGTTTCTTTACCCTATCCCTTGTTTACTGTCCCAGTCCTTCATTTTCACTCCACTCTTCCCTACGAGGCTAATCAACACCCTTGGAACATTCAGAAGACTGAAGATGTCTAAAAGCCCTTTTAATGTTATTAATTTCCAAAACAAAGTTTTTAGTTGTAAAGTATCTTAATGGTCAAATATTTAGATTTTAACAGCCAGGACCATTCTAAAGATGTTTTCTTGAGATGTTTAAGTCTAACAGTAACCAGAAATATTCAGACTCATCACCTAAAAATCTATCTCTTATTGGTAGATTAGAAACAAGGGCATATGCCTGCCCCTGGGGAGGGGGAGGGGGGTGCCAGTGTCGATTCTCCAAGTTCATCCTGAGTAGTTTTAAATGCAATTCCAATCATTCTTGATCATGTTCATCCTCATACCCCATAAGGAATATATAGTTTAGAAGTTAATATAGCTAACTTAAGCTCTCAAGTACTGAGGGTAAAAATACCTGGCATGTGTCCCCCAAATGAGAGGTCTGAGCAGCTGAAAATCCCACTCTGCACCTGAGAGCATGACCATTCCTACTCCAGAAAAGAATCTATTTTGGTTTGAGACACACAAAGCCCCAGCAGAATCAAAAGAATCAGACCCCAGTGTAAAACCTTTATGTGCAAAGCCTTCCCTGGTGGCCCAGTGGTGTGCCAATGAAGGAGACGTGGGTTCGATCCCTGGTCTAGGAAGATCCCACGTGCCAGAGGGAGCAACTGGGCCTGTGCACCACAACTGAGTTTGTGCTCTAGAGCCCAGGAGCCCCAGTGGGAGAGGCCATGGCAAAGAGGGGCCCTCACACTGCATCTGGAGAAAGGCCCTCACACCTGCAAAGACCCAGCACAGCCAAAGATAAATAAAACTATGGAAAAAAAACTTTTATGAGCAGGAATTCCTAACAGGGGGTTCTATTAATTCTCCTGCGTTCTGATCCCTGGCTAAGTTGCCCTCAAACTGAAGCATCCTATTATATTCTACAGTAGTGGGGAGTGGCAGGGTAGGCGCAAATCATTACCTGCTTCCTTAATAAGACAATTTTTACTCTCAAATTATACCAAGCTATAGAGGTTTCAAGTTTTCAAAGTATTACATTGCTATCTTTCACCAGACTCAGGCCATGGTAAACAGATTAGTGAGTCACTTTATACCAATCATAGAATTTCCATAGAAAGTATAAATCCTCCCAAGAGAAGCTTAGAACTAGACCAAACAAATGGCTCAGTACATTCTTACCACTTGGGATTAAGCTACCTGTCTCCTTTCACTCAGATTTCTTCAGTTTAGAAGAATTTAAGAATTTACAATAGACTAATAAAGTCATTCAACTCAGAAAAAGGACAAGTTTGTTTACTGAGAAAAAAAATGCATTTATTTTTACTGTAACTCAGTCCAATAACATCCTTGTTGTCTACATTTATTTTGGAGCCAGCATCAGACTTCATGATAAAAGAAATGCTATCGGGTCCCTCAAAAGGGATTTTCAAAGGGACAGGAAATTAAATGGCTATCTGGAATTTTTCTGCCAACTAAACAGACTTTTGTGATTTTTACCTTTATTGGTTCCTTTTTACCTATTCTGAGATATTAAAGTCACGTCACTGTGAGAGGTATGAGTCCCCACTATGAAGTTCATCAACTGGCTTCAATAATCAACACTACAAAGATAATTAGGTAGGGACCCAAACTATTCCATTTTAACTGGCAGTTAAGAAAAAGCCACCTGGGGCACTCAAGCTTACAGTTCAAACTGGCCTGAGATAGAGAAGCAGATGGGCTTGTGGACACAGCGGGGGGAGAAGGGGAAGCTGGGAGGAATTGAGAAAGTAGCACTGACATACAAAAACTACCATATGTAAAATAGCTAGTGGGATGCTGCTGTATATAACACAGGGAGCCCTAGGCCAGTGCTTTGTGATAACCTGGGGGTGGGGAGGTCTGATTCGGGCTTAAGGAGGAGATATATGTAACACTATGGCTGATTCAAGTTGTTGTACAGCTGAAACCAACATGACACTGTAAAGCAATTATCCTCAAATAAAAAAAAAAGGTGGGTCTGCCTATGATGGTGGTTTAAAGTAGTAACCTGCATACAGCTAAACAAAGCCACGCCAAATACATTAATTTTTTTCTTTCAGTCTCTCCAATTTCTTGGCACCCCTTAGTGTTCACTCAATTTCTCCTTTCCAAATGCCTTCTTGGGTATTGAAAACTTTCTTCTTTCAAAGTTAGGTACAAAACAATGTTTCTAACTCTCCAAGGACACACTCCTACACACCCATCACACTTGTAAAAATGCTATTGTTTGAATACCACTGAATGTGACCTACTCCAGGTCCTGTCCGGGGTGGGGGTGGGGGGAGAAAGATTACCTTGCGGAGGATGAATGCACGAACCAGGAAGAATAAAATTCCAGACATAATACCAGAAAGCAGAGGAGAGACGAACCAAGACAACACTGGAATAGAACACATTAAGAGAAACATCAACTAATGAAAATCAGGAACCCAAACACTACTCCCTCTCAGTCCATCTTTTTCAAAACTAATCCATCCCTCCAACTTGACACCATCTACTTACTCCCACACACAACGCCTCCTCCTTGTGGTAACACGACAATAAAAAGATATTTAGAATGAAACGTACCAATTTTTATTAGTTCAGACCACTTGACACCTTCCTGCCCCTTTGCCACCAAGGAGAAACCAATGGTTGCACCGACGATGCAATGGGTTCCAGAAATGGGCAGCTTCAAGAACGAAGCCACTAGTTGCCATACCGCAGAACCTGAAAACACGTCAAGTCTGATTAAGACACAAGGCAGAATTCCAGTAAGGTACGCAGCGCATATCAGTGAAGATAACCATCTGAAAAGCTTCAGAACACAAGAACGGAACTACCCATGATGAGAATTCGCTCACCCACCAAGAGGACAATCGGGGTGGAGGCGGTGGTGGTAGAGAACTCACCAAACATCGCACTGACGGAGCCGGCCATCAGCAGCACCTGGGTCGAGTTGTACATCTCCACGTCAATTAAGCCCTTCCTGATCGTCTCGCTCACTTTGGCCCCCAGGAGGACAGAGCCCACTGTCTCAAAGATACTAGCTAAGATGCAGGCTTGCTTGAGGGTCACTACACCTGATCCCACGGCTGTACCAAACGAATTTGCTACATCATTGGCTCCCACGGAGAATGCCAGGACGAACGCAATAATAAAACCCAGGATGAGCATCCATAGGTAGTTCACCGACGGACTAGAAGCGGCAGTAGCAGCAATAGCAGTGGTAATGAGCGGTGCCACGGTCGTTGCCATTCTCTAGAGTAGTGGTTCTTGAATGAATCAGAGAATTACTGAGCGGTGTTCAAGATGTGTAAACAGAATATGAGGTATCAAAAATGCTATAATAAATAATATATATTACATAAAATTAAATACTGTAAACTACGGCACAGAAACCGAGCTGGGGAGTTACTGCTATACGCTGCGTATGGGCATCTGTTGTCTGGGGTTTCTTTGGTTCTGGAGGGCTAGGAACACGGAGCAGAATTCCATGGCGGAGAAGAGAAAGGACGCAAGTTCATCCTGGAAGGAGGAAGGGAGAGGAATAACAATAGCAGTGCGCCCTTGGGGGCCGGTCCCGCACTCCACGCCGACCCACTGGGACTAAGGGGCCCCAGCCGGACCCGCCATCCGCGATCCGCTGTCCCCCGACCCGGAGAGAAGACGCCGGGCACGTGGCGCCGGGGACCACCTCCGCCAGCGCGCGCCCGGCCCGGCCCCCGAGCAGCCGGCCCGCGCGCACCCTCCCCACGAAAACCGGAAAAGGGCCGTTCCCGCGCGCGCGCGCCACCAGGGGACCGCCAAAAAGGCCCGCGGGCGGGCAGGCGAACAAGCGAACGAACGAACGGACGGACGGACGGACGGACGGGCGGGCGGGGCGGGGTGGGGTGGGGTGGGGTGGGGTGGGGAGGCGGGCAGCGACGAAAGCAGAACCCCACTGCGCCGCCGGCCCAGGCCCAGCCGGCCAACCCCAGCGCCGCCGCGCCCACACAGGGCCCCGGGGAGAAGAAAGAGCCTTTCCAAGGTGGCGCCTCCACTCACCAAAAAAAACGAGGAGCCGAACAGGAGGCGAGGTCCAGGCGGCGGGCTAGAACCACGGACGCACGCACCTTCTATCCAAGAGCACACGACGTGGGGCGGAGGCTCTGGGGATGGCTCCGCGGGGCTGGCGACCAACCCTGGAAGCAGCCCCTAGCGCCTCAGTAGCGGAGAAGAGAAAGCACGCAGCGCGCGCCGGCAGCCATCACTCTGGCAGCACACGCCGCTGGCCCCTACTTATAGCCGGCGCCGCGCCCCGCGTGACCCGCCGCGCCTCGCGCCGGCCAGGAGCCCCACCCCCGGGATGACGCAGACCCAGCCAGCCCGGCCGGATGAGCCAGACGGCGGCGCTCATAGGTCCTCCCGGCGCTTTGGTCACGCCCCCTGAGGAGAGCTTGTCCACGTGGGGAAGGCCAGCCCCTTCCCTGCGGCCATGCCTCTGCGTCTTGGCATTGCCTGGAGTCCGCGGCGGGGGCCGCTGGGGACCCTCACCCGGTCCCTGGAGATCGTCAAGCGAGGTTTATAGATAGAGGCCGCGACCAAGGTCATAGTTCCTTCCTCGCGATCCCAGTATTACGGAGCTGTCCGAGCCTCGAGCCACACTTCAGCGCACTTGTAACTTGCTGCATCGGGAGGCCACACCTGGTCAGGTTCCCTCCCTCGGGTCATCCTGGTGACGCTGCGGGGGAGCTCGCGCCCTGGGGCTCCGGATCCGGTCCAGGCACGTTGTCGCACCTGTGACTTGCCCTTGGCCAGACAGGCACTGTCCCTAGCCCGGGGAGGGAGAGGCTCACGTGGTCGCTTTACTCCCGCAGTCATGCACTTGGGTGAAAACAGTACTGCTGCGGAGTCACGAGAACCAGGTTGTCTCCCAGTTGTGGCGCAGAGCCACAGGGTGGCTGTGGGTCATTAATTTCCCCGCGGCAGACCGCTTTCTGCGCCGGGGCTGAGGTGCCTGGGGAAGGACTCCTCTCCGGATTCAAATCCTGATTCTTGTTGCTGCAGAGTGTCACCTTGAGCGACTTTCAGATCTCTTGTGTAATCGGGAATGTAAATTGTTAACAATTACACCTACCTGGTAGCGGGAATTAAACGAGTTAACGAGTGTGAATGGAACTAGAACTCAGTAGGTGTTCGGTGAATGCTAATTTCCGTTTTGGGGTTTCCGTGCATATTCCTGGTTTCTGATGTAGAAAAGGGTGTCTGAGGTGTTCTCTTCGGACCACCGGAAACTTTCCTGTTTTGAGGTAAATTGATTTCTGGTGCCCCTACAGGTATATATAATGTACTATTGACATTAATAAGATTTACTTTGCACATTTGGGGGCATTTCATTATTCGGCCTAAGATCAAGACTAACCACTCATGCCGGGGGAGATTAAGGTCGTGGTCTCTTGTCAGAGTTTGTAGTGAGATTAAAGAATTCCCAACAGAAATATTTACCAGGCTTAGAATGTTCTGGAGCCCTCCCGGCCTTTAGCCATCTCTAGCAGCTGGGCACTGAATAGCAGTAACAAAGACATTGTAAATCATTGCTATGTCTGGCTCATCTATGGAGGCTTAAAACTCCACCTGAGTTTCCTCTGACCTACCTAGAAAATCTGGTGGCGTTATACCAGTAATTTACAAAGTTCTGAGTCCCAGGGTCGTGGCCAAAAAAGGGAAGCGGGCAATGTCCGGGAGCAGTGACCCTGGAGTGCAAATCTGATGTAATTCTGGCACCTTAAATTGTACACCTCCCTCCGCCTTTACTTTGTTGCAAGGTTATGAAAAAATAAAGGACTGACATGTTACAGGTCTTTAGTGTTCTGTCATTTAAAACAATAATTTCCAAAACAAGTTATTAAGGCAGTTACCTAGAACTTTCCCTGGTATGTGTTTGTTTTTTCATTCTGCCCATGGACATACTTTTGCCAGTCTGTGGTACTAGCCCTTTAAGTTGGCAAACACTTGCTGGACAACCTCTGCTGAAGGTGGTGGGGCAGCCATAGTGAATATCCAGCAAGCTGAGAGCACAGGCCAAGCCCCTTGGCGGGGTTTGAGGAGAGCTCTGGGGCAAAGATTCAGTCAATTCCCCTTGCGATGCATGTCAATTCTGTGAGCATCTTCAGGCTGTAAGGACTATACCCTTCCTCCTCAGGACAACATTCACAGCGCCTCTGCTAATGGGGCTGTCAGGAGAGGTGGGGGTTGGGGTGGGTCCTGGCCATCTCACCTGGAGAGAGGATCAGTAGTGTGTGGCACTTGAGAGACTTGGACTTCTCCTGGCTGAAATGCCTCATCCTCTCACGGGGAGGAGAGGTAGGATTCTGTGGAGAGAAGGTTCAGGGCCTTGAAATGGAAAAATAGAGGGTATGAGGATCACCAATTCACAGACAAATGGCACTGGTTCTGACCTTATGGCTGAACACAGGAAAGAGGGCAGAGATCCCAAGGATAATGTTTCTGTCAGAATCAAGGTGCTCTCTTGGACCCTAGCAAGGCCATTTGGTCTAGTGGTTAAATGTGTAGACAGTTAACCCGAGTTACCTGCTCTGCTACTCACTAGTCACTTGACCAGGGACAAGTACCTTCTGTATCTCTGTTTCCTTATCTGTATAGGGCTTCCAGGTGGCACTAGTGGTAAAGAACCTGCCTGCTAATGCAGGAGACATAAGAGACATGGGTTCAGTCCCTGGTTTGGGAAGATCCTCTGGAGGAGGGCGTGGCAACTCACTCCAGTATTCTTGCTTGAAGAATCCCATGGACAGAGGAGCCTAACGGGCTACGGTCCATAGGGTCGCACAGTGGAGAGGTTGAGAGTTGCTACTTCATAGGGTTGTTGTGAGGGTTCAATCAACGTATGTAAAGTCCTTAGAAAGGATGTCTAATCCATGGCTGGTTCAATCTCCGCACTCTTAACAAATAGGGACTTCCCTGATGGTCCAGTAGCTAAGTCTCCACACTCCCAAGGCAGGGGGCCTGGGTTCAATCCATGGTCAGGGAACTAGATCCCACACATAACAACTAGAAAATCCTGAATGCCATAACTAAGACCTGGAACAACCAAATAAATAAATAAAAGTAAATATTAAAAAAAATTCAACAACTAGCTGAAGGCCTACTGTGCAGAGCTCATGTTTAAAGAGATGTGTGTGTCACATGTCAGAGCTGTTATTCAAGCCAAGCTCTTTCTGACTTCTCCCACTGCTGATAAAGAATGGGGGTGGAAGGGAAACAGTCTTGTGGACACAGTAGGGGAAGGAGAGAGTAGGATGAATTGAGAGAGTACCATGGAAACAATATACATGACCATCTATAAAATAGATAGCCAGTGGGAATTTGCTGTATGACGCAGGGGCTCAAATCCAGTGCTCTATGACAACCTAGAAGGTGAGATGGGGTGGGAGGTGGGAGGGAGCTTCAAGAAGGAGGAGACATGTATACCTACGACTGACTTCTGTTGATGTATGGCAGAAACCGACACAACATTGTGGAGCGGTTATCCTCCGATTGGGCTTCCCTGGTGGCTCAGATGGTAAAGAATCTGCCTGCAATGTAGGAGATACGGGTTCAATCCCTGGGTCCAGAAGATCCCCAGAGGAAGGCATGGCAACCCACTCCAGTATTCTTGCCTGCAGAATTCCATGGATAGGAGCCTGATGGGCTACAGTCCATGGGGTCACAAAGAGTCGTACACAACTGAGCAACTAACACAAACTAACACGACTGATTGACTAACATTGTCACTATCTTCCAATTAAAAATAAATATTTTTTTTTAAAAAAAGAATAAAAGAACTTAAAGGTGGAAAAAAAAAAAGAATGGGACCCATGAGAAACTGGGCCCACTGCCAGGAACCTGAGGACGGCAAGATGGGGTATGGTATGTGGCAGGTGAATGGGCTTGCTGGCTTAGGAATAAGAAGCCTAGGCCTGGCCCAGACTCTGACCACCCCCAGGATCTTTGGTGAATCCTGCCACAGAGCCCAGGAGCTTAAGGATCTGTCACCCACCCTCACTTCCAAAAGAACTGCATAAGGCAGCCTGCCGAGTGCCACTGAACACCAGCTTGGGCACTGTGGGTTCAGAGTTCTCTTGGAGATGATTTCCTCTCTCACGGACTCCACATGAGTGGAGATGAACTGTTGAGAGCTGGGAAATCTGACTCACCAGCCCCACCAGATGTGCAGAGGCACAGACAAAAGGAAGAGGCAAGGCCCCTTGTGTACTCTC